CACTCAATCTCAAACCTCGCAAGTGCAGCAGATTATTGATAAAATATGTTAACAAGCTGAAAAAAACAATCCGTGCCTCTATTTGTTAATATGTTCAGAGATAGTTTTCATTTGTTGAAGGGACAGATGAGTTGTCTTAAATATCCCAGTAATAAATTAAAAAGTGGAAGACAAGCCTGCCAAAAAGGGAAGACAGGATATGATCTAATATCCCACGTGTTTTTGGATAAGGCCTCTTTTTCAACAAGCCCATCCCGCTAGACAGTGTGTGAACATCTGCTGCCATTACGATGCATTAGCACAGTTCAATAAACTTCAGATATATATGCACAAGAGTTCTGGGATGATGCTTTAATAAGAAAAAAAGTTTGTTTTTTCTGTAGTTTGTTTTACTTAGACACCTCATTTCTGACCTTCTGCCTCTGAACAATTTCAACAATGTGTTTGAGCAACCATTATAGTTTTCTCATTTCTCATTTGTGTGGAAGGCATTGAAATAAAATGGCCTAAAAAAACAAATGACATCCACACTGCCCTTCAAAACCAAAATATATTACTTATAGAGTGCTGCAGGGATGACGTATTCTAGTAGGCCAATTCAGAACTTAGCATCTCCCTGGTTCCTTTGAGAAAAAGCCAATGGGAATTTGGGGTTATATGCAGAAAAAGCTCTGTGGCAAAAGGTTTTGATACTTTTGTTCATCAGGATAAATGGTTATGTTAACCACAGACCTCATATTGGGCATCCAACCAAAAACAAATTCAGAAAACCCACTGACTACAAGGAAATGGAACTGGAGGTGCTACAATGCTAACTCAGTTCCGGGTTTTAGGACTCATTCCTGCAGCGCTCTATTTGGTCAAAACTGACGTAGTCTGACTTTTTGATGTCTGTACAATGGCAAAAAGTTAGATAATAAGATCAATACCACGTTTATGAACTTAAGCTAGTCTGGAGACGGTTAGCTTATTTTAGCACTAAGCCTGGAAACAGGCAGGAACAGATAGTCTGGCTCTGTTGAAAGTTAACAAATTTGGCCTACTAGAACCTCTAAATCTCAAGTATTAATACGCTACATGTTTTATTTAATTCTGTACCCAGCAAATTGTGGTTTTACGGGGTGTTATGGTGCTGCTATTTTTTATGAGCAGTGCCTAGCAACCTTAGGGTGTCATCAGCATGCTGTTTCCCCCTGGTTCCAGTCTTTAATCTAAGCTAAGCTAAGATAACCAGCTGCTACGTTACTGGACAGACATGAAAGCGATATCAATCTTCTCAGCTCAGTCTCTGCAAATAAGCCTTTTTTGTCTAACCCTTTAATTTACATGAAAACAGCTTGTGAAGTTCTACTCACTTACTCTCCCACAATCAACTACACAGCTAACAATAAAGCAAGAGCCCCTATTTCGAGTGAAAACTAACTAGTGAGCCAGCTACGGTTAGCCTACTGATTGATTCTTCCCTAGACGTTAACTGTGAATGATGAAAATACAAAAATGTATGAATAAATCTAATCAAGAGAACTCGCCTAGCCTATTTTTAGGCATTTAGTATGGATAAAATAATAAATCTGTTACACCATTTATACAGCCAATTTAACTAGATGTAGGTCCTAGAGTCTACATTCCTGTACATTTTAATAATATATTCCTAGAAAGCAGCTGGTATTTAACTGTTTATAGTTCTGATGTTTCCAGGTATAAGTAAGAGAGGGCCCGTTCATTGCTGCTTGCAGCTTTAATTATACAATAGAAGCCTCACTACATTAGAGACTTAATCTCACACAGTGTACAAATACGAAGTGAGTAATTCACTGTGATCACTATCTACACAATTTGTCCCTTCACTAGTTATTCCTATGGTTATCTGTCTGGTTTTTTTATTTGAAGGTGTTTATCTAGTGCATCTGGACTCAGTGAATCCTCTAGAGGTGGCCTCTAGTATTTTCTTTTGTGAACATACATAACTCCCTCTTAAAGCTATTTGTGCTGGAACTGCAACAAGTGCAGACAAGAATGATGGCAGTGATGAATGTGTGGACTGGGGTGGAAGATGCTGGGTCCCTTGATAATAATAACTAATCATATGGCTGCTGTTTTCAGGCTGGAAGAGAGACACACCTCTCCTGATAGCCTTGAATCATGAAATGGGGAGAAAACACACTCCATATCCATTCTCTCGTTATTACTCATCATATTTTTTGGCAGGCTGTTTTCCCCTCAGAGGAGCTACGGTCACTGCTACATGTTTTTAATAAGTTTCCACTGTTTCAGTGGAACATGTTCGGACAGCTTTCTCAAATCAATGGTCCTTCCAGCACATTCATTTTACAACAACTTTGAACAGGTTACAGGTTCTTATGTTCCATGTCATTCTCCAGGGCATTGCGCAGAACAGCAGGGATCATGTGAGCTATTATAAAGAACAGGACGGAATCATGTGACCTCTGATCCCTCTCGAGTACATACCTGCACTGCTGCCCCTGCTGTTAAAGCATGGCCACAGAGTCAAATGGCCCCAGCTTGGAAATGTTTTGTTTACAGTTGGGATATTGGCTGCCTTCTTTCCACACAGCTGTCTGCATTTTTCTAAACTAATACTTTTCATCTTTTACTTGAACAAACTATTTTCCATTGAGCACTGCTCTTTAAAGGGCAGCTCCCTTGTCTTAAGTGAACCACGAAACAAGACTTCAGGTTCCACCCAGAGTGTGCTTGTAATGTAAAAAGTGTCCAATAAAGTGTGACTTTTATTACATACACACACTCTGTAGGTTTGTCTTATATATTGTAAGCTGGGAGAGCCTGTTTTTTCCTGCTTTGTTGCATCGATGGAAAAATGTTTATTTGGTGGTGATCGCTGCTCCAAACGACCCAGCTCATCTTCTTCTCATTCCAAACAAACCTCTGAGTTTTTGTAAGTATACAACACGGTTCATTTTGCGTCAGATCATCATTTCCCAGTACAGTAATGAGCTGTACACAAGCTGAATCACTTCTGTGTTACATAACTAGTGGAAAATAGCAGTTTTATGCGGGTCGAGGTCATGCTGACAACTGAGCAAGTAAAGACATCATTGCATCATCAATTTAAGGCCTTTATGCATGAGTATCACAGCACATTAAATGCTGCTTTCCATCTTGAAGGGGCACTCCGCAGATTCCATATTGCAAGACCTACAAATAAAACATCTGAAAAGGATGGTCAAAAGTGACCACGAAATCCTGACTTTTAGTCCTGTTTAGGGGTCAAGCTCCAAAAAACACTAGATCTTACATTTCCCATAATGCAACTGACTGTAACACGATTTTTTGCCATACCCTGCCTTTCTGGTTAACACCCACATCTGTGTTATAATATGAAAGACAATATAACCCTGATGACACAAACCAAACACTGGCTCTAGATAGGGCCATCCGTGTTTTTTGCAGCCAGTGTAGTTTGTCCTTTGTGCTTGTAATGAGGCGAGGGGGTTGCTATCAGCAATAACACTGCTTGCTTACAAATGCCACTAAATACCACACAGTGAACATTTAAATGTCTAGTGTGTAACATTAAGGAGGATCTATTGTCAGAAATATAATTATAATATTTATAGGTATGTTTTCATTGATTGATTGATTGATTGAGAATTTTATTTTGAACATGTAAAAGCCAACAAAACACTAAAAATAAGATAAAATAAAAGTGAAATGAAGAGAAATATACAAAAAGAAAAGAAAACGAGAACAGGCAAAACCCTGTACACTGCAACAAGCTCAAGGTTGTTAATTTCTCCATAAATTGAATCATACATGTTCAAAAGGGAGTAGGAAGAAGTGTACACTTCATTAGTGTGTAATCACCTGAATATAAGAATCATTATGCATTTGTTACCTCAGAATGAGCTCTTTTTATCTACAGACGTCACTGGTCAACTTCTATAAAGCCCACCATGTGGAAATTCTTTTTACAGTAGCCGAGAAAGGACAAACCACACATTGGCTCTAGACAGGGCCTTTCACCTTTTTTTCACAGTCACCATAGTTTCTCCTAAACGCTTGGAACTGGAGGGTGAGGCGAGGGCATTTCAACCAGCAACTACACAGGTAGATGCCACTAAATCCCATGTGCTGATCCTTTGAGGGGAAATTGGTGGAGCTCCCCTTTAAGTACTCATTTCTGAGAAAAAAAGTAATAATTAAGAAAAAAAATATTTATAATTTTCCAATTCCTTTCAGCCTTTTTAAAACAAGTTTTTAAATTCACTTTATATGAATTTCACAGTAAGCATGTTTTGAATAATGTCTGATGCAGAGCGTAATGCATAAGATGTTAAACCTATGAAATCTCTTACATACATAATACCAGTCATTGGTGACCAATGAAATAACCCCACTGTGACTACATAGTAAGACCCAGAGAACTACACAGCAGAGCCAAAGCTGCAGTGGAATCTGGGTCAGAGCTAGTTAACAGATTTGTCTTTCAGCCACGCTCCCTTACAAAGGAAAAACTACAGCGTGGCAGTCTGGAACCAGGTCGCTGCAGTGCTGGAAAAGTGCAAAGTCCTCCAAAGGGGGAACAGAGGCATGCCCAGACAGCGACAGTGACATCCATGTACTGTTGCGTCTGAACAGAGGGCCGTTATTGTGGAAGTTCACACTAATATTACCTCAAACAGAGCCCCTGAATTTTGCAGGAGGAGCCATTTCTTAATAGCTTGTGGAGCCAGGAGTGTCATCATGTGAGTTTAACGTCTACCCTTCACACTGAATAAACAACTGAAGCTTATGTTAGGACATCTGGCTAACATTTCCATTTTAACATCCATAAACTCACTATTTCATCATAAAAGTCATCTTAAATTTTTTTTAAAACCAGGCCAGCATGTTATGTCTAGTTTTATGTGCCATTTCTCAGATAAACAGTTCTAGAAACATTAAGTCAGTGGAATTACTCATGGGTGTGTGCAAAATGCAATTATTGCTTAAGAAAAAAAGACCAAGACCACCCGATGGACGTTGCAGCAAAGACAAATTTATTAAGTAGAAATCTTAATACAGTAATAGCACTGCAGAAAATGACAACCCCCTCCATTGAAACATTGGGTGGCCACAGTGAAAAACATTTGTGTTGCTGGCTAAAAACCTTGCAAGTCTTAGACGAGGAGGCACTTAAACTGTTGTGTCCATGATTGTGGAAAATGACATCAATCTGCTCTACTCAAAAACATTTCCAGATGTAATACACTCAAAGAAAGATTTCATTAGCAACAGGGAGGTTACTGAAAACTGGACAGAAAACGGAATTAGTAGGGAGCACCTGTCTCTACTCCAGTGTACTGCCGGCATTATCATGAGAGGGACTCATTAGAGAATTAATTATCTGTCCATCTATTCTCATTCTCCAGTTAGATTGGCAGGGCTGCTGACTAATCTCCTGATGGTCAGTGAGTTCTCTAGGAGGTGGTTCAGTCCGGCGATGAGTAGGTTCACAGACCTTTAACATTTATCTCAAACCGGACTTGCTGTTAAATTCTTCGTGGTTAACTCTATTCAGTGTTCAGAGGTGTAGTTACAGCTGGCTCGACGTCTCGTCTACAGCTTGGCTTTGCCCGGCTGCAGCTGCAGGCTTTGGAGCTTCATGGCCAGTCCCATGTTCCCTGTGATCTTCAGCTTGCCCTGGAAAAATGCCTGTGAATCAGAGAGGGTGAAAAAAACGTCATCCAGACAGTTCTGAATCTGAAGTACGGGTCCGGCGCGTGTCGGAGAGAACTACATGCTGCTGGTTTTAAGAGTTACCGTGAGAGATTAACTCATCCCAGAGAAAGTGGGGCATTGGCAACAACAGCTTATAAATGTCAGGAAACTGCATGGCACACAGACACAGAGGGGGTAGAGTTGGAGAAATGAATGTTTGCTGACTGGAGTGCAAAAAAAACAAACAAAACAGGAATGAATAGGTAAAATGAGACGAGGTGGTAGTAATTTTCCCACTTTGAGTGAGCAGAAATTCTGAGAATACTCGCTCAGTTCTCAGAAGGAGAATAAAAGCTTTCTCGTGTGGGTTTATGACAGAAATGGAAGAACTGAAATGATCAGTTTTGCCTTTGTATTAAAAACATCATGCAAAAAATCAACCGGTCCAATTTTTTCAATGATGTGGGATAAAGCAGCAGAAAGACTTTGTTCTTGGAGCATGCACAGCTATCCTTCACAGCACAGTGACAGCTTTTCTGGGGATTCCTCATATGTGTCCTCACTGTTAATGGCCATGGGCTGGTGGCGGTACAAATGACCTTGGTGGGCGTTGTTTGCTGCTTTTGTTCATAACCTCATTTTTATGTTGAATTTATTATACTTTTTTAATAAATTTTATTATTTTTTAAATATAATATATAAATATTTTCAACTTGTATATTATGTTTTTTATTTTTGGTTTTAATTCAGTTTAGGTTCAGTTGGTTTAGTTTTAGTAGTTTCAGTATCAGTTTTCTTTTTTTTTATTATAATATGACGGGAGGGGTATTAAGTCAGTATAGTATAGTATATACAGTTTAGTATAATTAGACAGTATAGGTATTACAATACAGACACAGTGACATCACATCTTAACAAACATATGCACCAATGCCTCCTCATGCTTGACAAATTTGACCAGATTTATGAAGACTAAAACTAAAAACATTTCCTATACATTTTATTTTAGTACAAAATATTGTTTCAGTTTTTTTTTTTATTGAAACCCCTAGTTTATATTTTTATTTCAGTTAACTAAATGTTTTTTTTTCCACAGCTAGTTTTAGTTTTTTTAGTTTAAATTCACTATATTAACCCTTTTCTGCACACAACATGGAAAAGAAAAGGCAGAATTAAAGATAATAAAGGTTTAATTAATTCCTCACAGAAAAATTGTGCAATTACTGCAAAAAAAGTCAAAATAAATAAAAGTTTTGATATAAGTTTATCACTCCAATTAAAATCATTACATTGACCCCGTCCTATATATTTGATACTCATCTCTAAAGAAATGGCTAGTGTCCAAAACAACAATTCCTTTTTTACACACAGATCACATTTTGTGTTCCAAAGTCAGGCAAGAAATAAATCTCCCTCACTTAATAGTTATGGCTCTCTCCTGTTTCGGGTGCATACAGGAAAACTGCATCATGTTTTCACCCTACACAGCGACTTTCTGGCGTCTTTCTGGCGGTGAATTGGCACAATCAGCAAATAATGAGGCAGTGCAGGGTTTCCTCTTAGTTTCACCCAGGCGCTAACAAAAATATCCAGTTAGCGCCACATCCAATTGGCAAGGAAAACATTTTAGGAGAAGCTTTGGACAGGGCACACAGGCTGAGCCAGTGTGAAATAAACATGCCACTACACAACTCAGTCAGTCCCTACACTAATGTTATACTGAAGCCATATAAAGACACTGGAAAGTACATTAGCAGGTATGTTAGTAAAGGCCTAGGCCTTATACATGGTTTTAAAGTCCCACTGTATATACATACGAATTTTAAAGCTGCTGTAGGTAATTTTTATAAAAATATGTTCAGAGCCGAGAAAGATAGTTGATTGTTGAGTGACATTCTCAGAGTGGTGGAGCTGTAGCCCCATGTGAAGGGCTACATCCTTGCTGCAGCGGCTATGGGTTAGAGTCCGGCCTCTCTCGCCTCTTTCTCTACCTACCTTTCCTGTCTATCTTCAGCTGTCAAATCCAAAGGGTCTTTCTAGCTTTCTCAGCTCTGATTGGTTGTGATTGTTCAGGCTGGTGGATTCTTGCAAATTCCACTACTATTATGATTATCTGTCTCAGGTACTACTGTCTACTACGTTTTTTTTTTTTTTATAAACGTTACCTACTGATCCTTTAATTGACAGAAAAAGTGACTTCCTATCGTAATGTCAAGACTTAAAAACGTAACTACAATGACCCCGTGCATTAAACTATAGTATACAGAAATTTTATACAGGAATCAAAATAATAAACTAATTTACAATGCACTAGATTTTTTTTTCCCAACGCACATTTACTGTCCTCAGTGTTAGATATTGGTCGACGACCACACGTAAGGAACATAAAACAGAGAAAAAAAAAAACATAAAATGTAAAACACTAATGACATCATCAAAATGTCAACAACATTCCATATATAAAAAATAAAAAATAATATTTATTTTATTATTTGACGAAAGCATACAGGAAATCTTTTAGTGAATAATCAGTACAAAACGTTGATGAACGAGGGCCTAAATGTACGAGTGTAACCCTGGTTGTCCACTGCAGTCGTGTTTTATGAGTTACCCTACTTGCAGCAGCAACTCCCCCACACCACCACTACCAGCCCACCCCTCTCCATGGAGTCAGCCATGTTGAACTGCCATGTTTCTACAGTAGCTGTAAATCTGCAATTACACTGCTAGATGCATTTAAATGATAGGTTCACATTTTGTATGTACGGTGGCCCTGAGGTGCAAATCACAACAGCAAATCAGAAAACACAACAAAAGAGAAAACACAATGGCAAATCAGAAAACAACGGCAAATCAGAAAACACAACGGCAAAAGAGAAAACACAACACAAAAAGAGAAAACACAACGGCAAAAGAGAAAACGCGGAAGAACACCAAACAGCCAAAAGAGAAACACAACAGCAAAAGAGAAAAAACAACAACAAAAGAAGAAAAACACAACCGGCAAATTCAGAAAACACAACAACAAAACAGAAAACACAACGGCAAAAGAGAAAACACACGACATTACCAAACCGGAAAATGGTAGGTACCTCGGGGGCATGAATCGTCGCTGATTGGACAAAAGACACTGGTCCGTCCTTTGAACCGTTTGAAAGACACAACACCTGCAGACTTTTTTTTTTTTTATATGGCTTTATTGAAAAAGTACAAAAAAAACATTCTGGCTCTTTTCGTAGTACATACAACCTATCGCAAGTGTAAAGAGAATGGCCAGGGTGAACAGTCATCCAACATTAGTGAAGCCAAACTCACAATAATGTTACATTTAGTGCTTCAGATAAAATAAATTTGGGCATTGAAATAAAATTAAAATTAACATCTCAAAATAAATAGTCAAAAATAATATATATAAAATCAGAATAAAACATGATTTCATAAGGGGAGATTCAAATCAATTTTTAACTATCCATTTCAGTGGGAAATTCTTCTAAGTTAATCATAATAATTTTATGCCTTCCACTTTCTGTTAGAAAGTTTAAAAGATTTCATGGGTCAATTTTAAATTCCATTTCATCAAGACATATAAAATCTTGGGTGATGACTTCATAAACTCTATCTTGTGGGGAATGGAAAAATGCTAAATGGTCAAGAACTTGGAAATAAATGGGTGCTCTACAGAATCGAACGCTTTATAGAAATCTAAAAGAAAACCATCATGTTCAAATTTGATTTTTAATTCAACCAATGGTCCATTACCAAGCCTTATATTGTGTGGATTGATCTTCCTTTTAAATTAACCAATAAGATTTGAAATTCCTGTCTGAAGACAAGGTGGTGAAAATGTAGGGGATAATTTATACATCAGATTTCTAAGAGTAATACGGCCTTCTGTTTTCTATGAAATCTGGGGCTTAGGGAAATAGATGATGAAGCCCATGTTCATTGTGGGTGGAAGTATACAAGTTTCCAAATATTCCAGGAATACTTGATGTAGCAGTTTTTTTAATATCTCCCAGAATGTCTATAAAAGTCTCCTGGTGAGGTCCGTCGAGCCCCCGTGCCTTGTTAAGAGATTAGGGCGGCCAATTACTATGTCCATTCAGTAATGTTATTTTTTGAGATCACATGTTTGTTTAAAGTTATCTACTATTTTGGGAATATATTTTTTATAACCCTTTAAGAATGTATGGCAGTCTTTATTAGGAGAATTTAAGACGCAGCTGTAAACTGTTTATAGGAAATTTTGAGGATTTCTGAGGGAGATTTGAGATCTATTATGGTTCTGTGATTTCTTATTATCATATTTACTATCAATAGGAAAACTGATGTTATATTTTTTCAATTGTCTTCTTTTTCAAAGACACGGAAAGTAATGTGAGTTTTTTTTACACCCTCCTTCTATCCATTTGATCTCCTGATACTTATCATGAAAGCCCCCTTGTGCTCTTTGAACAGTTCATTACATTTCATCCAGTTAGAATTGAAGCATATTATTATTTTCTGTTTTTTATCTCTCAGATAGGTTTGATTTATTGCAGTAACATTTTAATATGTACGCTGGGTCGCCAGACAAAGGCGGGAGCCAGCTGGCGCACATGCAGAATTCTCCGCGCAATTAGGTTCTGGCTGGAAACTCCCGTCTGACTCTGGCTCTATGTTCATTACTGGTGATTCGTAAAGATTTTAATAAAGATTATATTTAAAAAAAAAAAACAGAAAAAGGTCTGGCAGGTAGTTGTCTTTCCGGTTCAAAGGAACGGACCAAGTTCTTTCTGTCTAATCAGCTACGATCATGTCGCACCGGAGGGTACCTACCTTTCCGGTTTGGTTTAATTGCTTGTGTTTCTGAATTTTTGCCGTTGTGTTTCTGTTTTGTTTTGTATTTCTTATTGCTGTTGTGTTTTCTGATTTGCCGTTGTTTTCTGATTTGCCGTTGTGTTTTCTCTTTTGTTGTTGTGTTTTCTGATTTGCTGTTGTCATTTGCACCTCAGGGCCACCGTATGTATGTTCTAAAACACACTCAAATGCCCACATGAAGGCTGAAACTATTTCTGGTCTCCAGAATTGTTCTGAAAACTAAAAACTTAGGAAGATATACACTAGCTTTAATAAATTCAGAATGAATTTCATTAAACAACCTTGGTCATAAATGCAGCCTACTATGTTGCAGTCATGGGTATTACGGTTAACAATAGTGAACATGTTCAACAGAAATTAATCAACAATACAGGAATGACTATATGATTTAACTTTTATTTTACAATATGAACAGTAAAGTCAGTAAAAAGATTTCAAAGGCAAGTTCTCCCTCCGCTAAAGAGGAGGAGCCGATTTGGAATCATTTGGAGTATGTGAAGAGCCTGGCCAGCCAGCGTTTCTTCTTTTTTGGCTTTTTCTCCATGTTGCTCTCCCTCTCAGACCACTCCAGCTGCTTCTCCTTCATCATTTTCTGGAGCCTTTCAGTGGCTTTCTGGAGAGTGGTCCTCTCGTCCTGCCACTGTTTCAGATCGACCTGTAGCTGCTCCTCTGCTTTCTTTTAGGCTGCTGCTGCTTCATTGTTCACCCCTGACTTTGTATTGTCCACTTCATGTCCTGTTGATCTTGTCTGAGTTGCCGCTCTGAGCCATCTGAGTCTGTACCCTGCCTCTCTGCTCTCTAGTCTAGCTGCACAGTCTGCTGCTCTTGGTCCCTGTGGGTTCTGTACCACTGGTACTTTCTTCTTCCTAGCAGGAGTCAGGTTGCAGGGAGGTTGACCTGCTCCACAAGGGTGCTCCAACTGTTCGGCCACCGATCGTAATCGTCTGATATTCTCTTTTTTTAATATTAGTTTGATCAGTGATCTCTATAAATGCCGATTAGATAACCGATCAGCTGAAGCATGTATTTTATTCCATAATGAAGTTATTCAGTCTTTGACACAAACAAATATACTTGTGTGTGCCACCGGTATATTAACAGTCAGGGGCTCATTTTAGTATTTTGCAGAGAAACAGAGAGAGGCATTATCTGGTGGATGTTTTATAAGCAGGCAAATCAACAGTTTTGTTTCTGATGGGTGACGTCATTAACAAGCCACCTCGTTAATGTGCAGCCTGCTTTTGTGAAAACGGGATGGTGGGTAAAAACATTCCAAACATGAGTTGTGTTTGTTTACTCTTTACCCACTGCTGACCAAAAACTTGGAAGTGCTGTTAAGCTCCAAGCTGCTCCCAAGAACCGACAACAGGCTGTGGTTTAAGTTGTGTCATGTTGAACATGTTGCCTGTCAATGTCAGTCTTCAGTGTTGCAGAAACAAGCTTGATGGCCTTCCTTATCAAAGTCACGTGTTCCTGCTGCAGTCTCACAGCGAGTTCCATGGGGCCCTTTTTCCAGTCCAGACCTTCTCGTGCTGCTCTTTTTTAGCTTCCTCGTCAACAACACTGGACTGGAGTCTGGCCGTGCACTTCTCAAAATCTTCATGAGCCTTCTGCAGCTGGGGCTTTGTCAGTCTGTGAAGCCTTGTGCACTGATTGCCAGCAGAAACTGTGCTCACATTTGCGACAGCGTCTGCACTTTGCCTTTTCAGCTTCTGTGTTATGTTCTTTTTGAGGTTAAGACTTTGTTGAGCAGGTCATGGCAGGCTTTCAGTTCTCTGATGCTCCTCTCTGCAGCTACTAGACTACAATAGACTACTATCAGGTGCAGGTGCTGCTTGAATTGAGCACCTTCAAGTTAATCTTAAAAGAGCGTGTTCTCTTCTCAGCTTTTTCAATCCATCCTCCTTGACAAAAGACAATCCAAGTCTTGGTTTGTGGCTTCCAGTTGCTTCTTTTGCTGGGCCTCCATATTTCATTTCTTCTTTGGTTTTTGTGCTTTTTGGTTTAAGGTTTTATCCATCATGGCAGTGAAACTACTGACTCAATATTCCATTTGTGTCAGAAAATGTGAGTTCGAACTCATACATTCTGTGCATTCAAACACTGGTTTTCAGTTTACACTTAACTTTCTATATGAGGGTCAATCCTTATGACAAGTCTGTGCCTCATGTGTAATCATACTTTTCGCATTTTGAGCTTACAATTCAAATATATTATATGACTGTGCATTATATTTAACATTGAATGCCAAATATTTCAGTTTAAAAATCATAATCAGATACGAGCCACACACAGAGCTGTATCTGTATAAGTGCAAGTGAGCACTTTTTACCTTTATCTTTATATATTTTAGTCCAATCTGGCTACCTTCCCAACACTACGGCTCTCAACAAGTATTCTAAATTCGATTGTGAAAATGATAAATGATAGCTCTTTTTGGCGGCAGCCTTGACTTGCCTTGGCTTGACGTTATGTCGTCTTTTTACTTTAAATACCTATTTTAATTTTTTTTAATTTGATTTTCTATTCTATTTTTATGGCTTTTATTCTGCTCTTATTGTTGTATTTTGATACTTATTACTTTTATGTTTAATTATATTGGGTGTATCACGGCTATTATTCTTGCTTGTCTGTCAAGGCACTTTGTAAACTAGGGGCCCTTTTTCTCCTCTTTTGGGTGGCTCTGAGTAACGAGAGGAGGAACAATTACAGCAACCATAAACTGTTCCAATGTAGCAAACCTATCCTTAAAGACAAAGTGAGTAATACACAAAACGCATCAATATTGTACAAGCTGCTCTGGCAGAAATAGATGTGGTGTGTAAAGATAACAGAGAGAAGCAAAGAGCTGCAAGCAAGACATTCGGGTTGTGCGATCACAGGACACTGGCACTCTAGCTAGAATGGCAGCAGACACTGAGGGTAAGACAGGCCTAACTCAAATACTCCCACACACTTTTGACTGGAGAAAAAAGTAAATGACATATGTGTGCCTTCTCTGAACCAGAATCACTGTCACTATCAATAGATCGAATACTCACAGTCTGTGGGTTCATCTTTCCTGTCATCAAGGCCAACAAGTCTGTATCCGACATGGAAATTGTGCAATCTGCTTTCTTAGCTGCAGGGCAGAGATACAGGAGCTGAATTTATTTCAGAAACAAACAGGAACAAACAACTCCATTTATGCAGTGACTTACAGGTATTTGAAGGTACTGAGGCAAAGAAAAATGTAAAGACCTAACTACGTCACTCACAGATGAGGCAGAAATGCAGTGTGTGCAGTCCTTGAACTTTAAACTGCATTTTCAACCATAGTTGAATATTAACATGATTACATGTCACTATAGGTTTCCACTGTCTATATAGCACTGTATACATGGCTGTATACAGCAGTCTTACCCGTGTCATTGTGAACACAGCCACTGCCGTTCTTCACGTCCACAAACCATGTTGCCTCCTGTCCATTTGGGCCATCCTTTACTTTGAAGGCAAACACTCCCCCGATCTTTTTCACAAACTGCTCCCCTTCCTGTTCAAAGGACACAGAGATTTTACATACAGTGTAAACCAGGGGTCTCCAGCCTTTATAAGAGTGAGAGCTACCTACCCACTGGACCTTTAAAACGCTCTTCCTCAGGCTACACTGACAAGTTGAAAATACATCAAATAACAAAAGGCAAGGAATATGACCTGAAATCTGCCAAAAAAAACTGGCATCTGAACAGAAAAACCCAATTCCCTCTCAATACTAAACTAATATGGGAATACAAAAGTGGGACGACAGACTCTCTTACTAAAGATAAGCTCTGCATATAACATTTTAAATCTCTTTGTCTGATCAGTCGCCTGTGATATTATACTAAACCATGTCTCTCCTGTTGCCATTTTCTCATTGATGACAAATCCCATTCATTACCTAGACAGCACTGGTGGCGAGCTTGAGAGGAATCTGGTATGACTGAGGTCACACAAAGGTAACTGCTTGAAAAAACACTTTAGTTTTGGGGGAAACCATTTGTCTAAATGAGTCGACATAAGCTTGAAATGATTTTTGGGCTATAAAATGATCCAAAAGTGAGGCTCAAATAGCGGTACGGCACAGACGCAGAAACACTGTATATGAGCTGGATTTTTAAAGAACCACTGGAAGAAAAGGCTCAGAGAACGCAGAAGAAAGAAAGTGAAAACTGAAAATATGCAATTAGCAACCCTGTCCCCTGTTGTGAGTCATGTAATCACCTCCTGGAGCTTCTTGTTAATTTCCTGGAACACAGCATGTGCCTTGAACCCCTCCAATCCATCACTAGCACTGGTGTGCACGGCTTGGATCCTGGAGACGGCGAAGGCATGAGAAAAAGAAAGGTCAGTGAAAAAAGAAAGTGTTGAAAGTGCATTAAAGTACCACTCTTATCAGTTCAATAATATAACAAGTCTCCAACTCAATTAGCACTTTCACAAATAGATTATGGATCATCAAGACTGTGGCCTCCACATCTGACACCTTCACTGCCTCTTTGTAAACATCGGAACAGCTACTTCCAGCTACATCCAGGATGTCACCATCTTTAAGCACAACACAGTGGCACAACACGCTGGTGGGCATAGCAGTTCATTTCCAAGAATGTACTATTACATTTAACAGAAACAGTTAAAAATGCACAATTAGCTGTGTGCTCCCCTCTAACCGAGGGAGGGTTAGCTGAAGCCGTGTAAGCGCGTACGTTAACGTAACGTCGCTGTCAGTGTTCACCGGGAGCAACGACGGTGACCTCGATGCATTATTCACAAACATGTCACTGAACTAGCTAACGTGTCACAACTACACCGTACAATGCTCAGTATTCTTACCTTGGTGTCTGTATTTCAGGCATTTTGCAGTACCGTTAAGTGGACAGACAGTTCCTCAGGTGAAGCAGAACCGACAGAACCGACAGAACCGACAGACACACTGATTCAGCTGAGCTTCGCCTGATGTTCGCTAACTGCACTTCCTGGTTTCTTCCCGGATCTTCAGACTCGACGTGTCGATGTCAGATAGCCGAGAGTGAAGCGTGAATATTGCTTGAAAAATACTCACTATTAGCCTTAGTAAGTAAACTCTAAGTTCTCCTTTTAAAGGGTCGTTTTGTATGTTATAGCCCATTCACTACCACTCACATTTATTACACAATTCACAAAAACACTATATAATATAACTGTATATGTATATTTGTAAAGAGTTACTATTACCACAAAAATCAATATTACTATGGTTTTCTATGTTTAAAAACAAGTTGAAAAAAATATAGGTTTCCATTTATCGCTGTATGGTATCTGTAAAATCAATAAGCAAACCTGGTAACCCCACCAACACTACAGTGCTTTATTTTTTATTATTATATATTATTATTTATTTTAATTTTTTTTAAATAGTTGATCATTGAGTCTCATTCCCAGGTCGTTAGATACAGACACTGGGAATGAGACTCAACAATCAGCTATCTTTTTCAGCTCTGATTGGTTGTTCTTGTTCAGGCCCAGTGGATTTTTGTGATTAGGAGCACTAGGAGGAACCAGAGGAACCAGAGGAATTCACAGATTATCTGTACTAAAGTCAGGATATTGTGAAAATCTGAACAAATATGACAAA